GTAGTGTACATGGCCATAGGAAAACTGTATTCAAAATAGCAGGGGTGGACATACTGGCTGTGCAACCTGTACAGCTACACAGGAGCCCTAATGGACAAAGGGCCCCAATAAAGAAACCTCAAAAAGAACCTGCTATAGCAGAATTAAGCCAAAGACGTCTTTCATACAGGTGTTCCATCAGTATATTTTTGACCCATCATTAAGCGAATCAAAAATGACTGAAATGCTTCCCTACTGGCAGCCAGGTGTAAGCAGATCCATTTACATCCAAGTCTGTTCAGATTAGTTGCACCAAATGCAAGAAGTTTGCATCCAGGTCTGCTATAGACTGGATATATGTGAATGCATGCCCACTTACATCTGGCTGCCTAAAGGAATTTCATGGGTCTAGTATTTTCTCCACCACAAGATAAAGACAAAAATGTAACAGAAATGGATGTCACATCTATTTCTGTTCTGTCCTGATGGAGTGGAGGGAATCCATGTGAAAGGGGCCTAAATCAAGATAATGGAAAGTATTACAGAAGGTCAGCTGACTATGGTGATGTCAAAAGAAATGGAGAGGGTGGTGGTGCTGCTGATTTCAAGACTGAATGGGTCTGTTAATGATGATATTAAATGAAGGCAAGCCCAGGAACGACAAGTAAAGCTTGGAGATACAATGTAAGTTCCTAGGGTGCATAAAGTATAGTCACAAGTAAGGCAGCCCTAGGTTTAACAGAAGAATAAGCTCAGAAGAAGGGTTAAAAAGGAAGAAGACCTTAAGGCGAATGAAATGTTATTTCTCCCCGGGGCTACCTAAATTTAGACTAATTTGGCCAGTCCAATCTCTAGGTGTAGATCTATTTTAAATGTGACAGTAAGTAAAAGTATGTATGCCATTTTTGAAATGCAAAAATGAACAATGCTCCATTGTGCATCTTGTTCACAGGCAACAATGAAATTATCTATGTGAAGTAAAAAATGTCTGTTGGGGCAATCCAAGGCAGGAAAAAAAAATCTAAAACGTGATCTCGCAAAGGTTGCTTGAAAAGACAGATGGGAGACCTTTGTTAAGACAATTTCATAGTCCTTGAAAAATGGGTGCCTGCCCAAAGGGTTACCAAACAGGACAACGGGCACTAGGTTAGGTTGTGCATAGATACAATGGGAACATAAGACGATTATGTAATTCAAAGCAAAATAAACTATTGCCTATTATTTATGCAGCTAATAAAACTTTACAGTCATTCGACTGACGCAAGCTTCTCACAGTCTCATTGGATCCTCATATACCAGACAAAATCAGTCAATCAATCTAAAGCATCCTTGAAAGGATCTACTGAAAGTAAAGGCTGTACATTACACATCAGTTTGACCTGCTATTTGCAAATTGAACTGAGGTGTGGTAGTTTCCTTTCAAGTACATAGGTCATTGAAATCTCATACAGAAGGCCAATTTGTTGTATTTAACAGTAAACATTAAATACAGGCTTATCATTTAAGTCAGCAAGATAACAGCATTCCCTGTGACCGTGATTGTTTGCAGAATGGCAAAATATTAAAGGCGTCCTTGCTTCGACTAGAAAATGTCTGTGGCCAGCATTACAACAGACTGTTTAAAAAGGAAAACTGCACTATAAGTATTTTGGGGCAATCAAACAGGCCAAGTAAATGATATGGACAATTGAAAATGCTTGGTCAGACAAAAAAATGGTATTTTGAACTGGCCAGCCCGCATAATCCTAAATAGTTATGTAGAGGTTTTATTCTCCTTAGTCCTAACTGTAGGTTGTATGCAGTTGGGCTAGGTTGGAATATATTTCCTTTTGTATGCAGCTAAGAGTCACAGTCTAGATATTCTGTACTTTTTTTACATGCTTGCATGTCATGGGCCTACATTTTCTGTACCTCAATTGCATGTTATGGACAGGGATTGACAGAACCAAGGGTTCAGAGTCAAAAGCAGCATTTGTGCTCCATGAGATATTTCTAATATTCACAGTGCCTGTTCAATTTCCCCAAGCTGCCTTATGATTGCAGCTGAATGGAAGATGAGACTGAAAATCAGTTTTTGGAAATGCTTCTAAATTAGAAAAGGAGAGTTTAACAAAAGCGGTTATCTTGCTCAAGAATAACTCCTCCTGCTACAGTCACGGTAGTCTCCCCCCAAGATATGATATCCCCTTTAAGACCAGATGTTTGACACTTGCTTAAAGACATTATTTCTTCAGCACTCAGTAGAGAACTCCAAAGATGCAGATGACTTAATTTTCCGTAGAAATTATTGTTATATATTCCCATGAGATCAAAGCGTTCCTTTCCCAGAAGAGCCAGCCCTCCTGGTTTCACTGTGTACCCTTTCTGGGCAATCTTCTCCTTGCCTTGCAAGCCACTCACAAAGAGATCTGTCCTTCCTGTGGCTGAGTCCCAGCGCAAACAGTAATGCACCCAGTCTTCAGTTGTATGGTGTATATTAAAGTCAACCAGTGTCCCACCCACCCAGAGCCTAACATCAGACCCTACACTCAGGACAAGCTCATTGTCAGACTTTGTAGTGGAGTAGGAAAATACTTTTTGAAGGCCTTCTGGTTTGGTTTTTATCCAAGAACAGAGCGTGAATTGGGTCAGCTGGAGAGGTTTTGATAGCTGGATTTCAACATAACAAGCTGGGTACTTCTTGGAAAAGTGAAAAGATGGATAAAACTGTACAACAGAAGCACCTGGAGGAGAAATAGAAAACTCAAGATGTAATGGAATGAGATTAGAATGTTAAAAAAAAAGAAAAAAGAAACATTAGCTAGTGATGCACTGAGCAGAGCATATTTATGACTGTCAGTACATCCCTAACAGGAAGACCTCATTTAAGCCGTTGGGAGAAATTTTGGAGAGCCAAAATTTCAGCCCATGTTAAATTCTGAAAATACAAATCAAATAGGATGGCACAGTTCAGTAACATGGCCAACCTACTGAACCACATGCCCTGTGTTCTAATTCTTACTTTCCTCTGAGAGGAATGGAGTGGTAGAGTTAGTTTTATCTTTAATCAACAATGAAGAAGTTGGGTAGTGGCACTGGAATTTTCGCACATAGCTGAATTTAGTTTAGTTTTATTTGTAATTGTAAGTTTACTATATACTCGTATACAATTGTCCCAAGGGTATCTTCCACTCTATTTGTAAGGTCCATATGCTCTCCCATAAAGAGATATCCATACAAATGCAAAAAATGTATAGAGGCACTTGTGAGTCTTGCAGTACAGATATGGCAAAGACAGTAAAATGCTGCTACTTTAACTTTACTCAGCCCAAGACCTGTGAGTGTTTATATACCTTTTCAAATTTGTAGAGAGATAGATTAGATAGGATAGATATGTTAGAAAGATAGATTAGATAGAGAGGGAAAAAAAGGGTACATTAAGAGAGAGGGAGAGAGAACTATAAGAATTGTATTTGTTTATTATATTATGAATCCCTCAAGCCCTTCTTTTAGCCATGTACTATGTGATCACTTGCCTGTTCGGCCCTTTAAAGGATCAGTCGCCACCCGTTTCTTCACATCTAGAAGTTCCGTCTCAATCACGGACAATTTAGTGCTGATCTCCTGCTGACATACTTCACCTGAAGATGTGCATTAATATAAAGAAATAATCATGGTCAGAAAAGTAAAAAAATATATCATATCAAAATATTGTTTAAAGGATAACCACCTTTTTTTCGGCCAGAATTTAACTTTTCATAATAAAATGGAAGAATTTTACAAAGCCATTTCTGGTCCAGCCATCCCAATGCGCTTTTCTCTCACTTACCTTATCCACAGGAGGTTTATTTTTGCCAGTTTATTTGAACTAATTTTCAGATTCCACCATTTCTCAGCATTCACTTCCTGAAGGCCACCTCTCAGAAGCCTTCACTTCCTTTTCGCATCACAAAAGAGGGTGTGATAGGGTGTGTTCACTACTCTAGACCACACCTCCCTCATTACTATACTGCCGTCCGCCATCTTCCTATACAACCTGATTGTACAATCTCCTTTAGATCTCCCATCTGCTGTGTAGTAGCCATGTAAAGACAACACAAACACAATGCACATTCGCAGCGTTTCTGAAAACGCATGGCAAAGTGCGCATTTTCTGTGTAGATTGCCATGCGTTCGGAAACACAGATGTGAATGGAGGCTCATTGTTCTTGTGTAAACAAACCAATTTAACTTTCAGGCCCCATTAATCCCTAGAGTAGGGCAGCCCGTTTATTTAAATGGACTACGCTACACGTTGCAAAGTAGCTCATGGGACATTTTTACATGGTGCGAGTTGCACGCTTTTTTACTGCACAGTTTGCTGCATTTGTCAGCTGTTTTTACATGTGGCAAAATGTGTGCTTGTTTCTGTGTTACTGTTAACATTAATGACACTAAAAGTGCAACTAGTTGATTTTAGGTGTATAAATGTGGCCACACACTACACAATCTGATTGTACAATCTTCTTTAGATTTACCAAGACTATATAATAGGAGAACACACCATCTATCCAATCACTCTGTATCGAATCAAGCAGACCCTTGCACTACATCAGGGCTGCACGAGGTCCAAGGGAGTTTAGTATGTGGCCTGAGCCCAATTGAAGGGACGTTGGGGTAGCCAGGCAAATGCACATATGAAGAGATGCCGGGGAAGCTGTGAAGAAAAGTTGATGAGTGAAGGGTGTGTGTTTTAATGAAGTCAGTGCAGGATGTGTGTGCTAATGAGATCAGGTGGTAATCTGCTTCCTGCGTCCTACTGGCTCCTCTGTTCTAAATCTACATGTCAAGACGTGATGATGTCGTCTAAAAAATGAAGCAAGGGCTAAGGTAAGGCCTTGTTCTCAAAATCAAAGAGCTTGTATTTTTTGCAACTGAGGTACACTAATGCTTTATTGGTGCATAAGGGAGCTGGATTTTAGAAAAAAAAAGTGAACTCAGCCTTTAACTGCTTCCCATCGACCCTATAGCAGTAATACGGCTACAGGATTGTATATATACACATGATTTTGCATGTCCGGGTAGGGGGCGCGCGTGAGCCCTACCTGTGCCGCTATTCGCAGCCTCAGCTGTCAATCATTAGGTCCCGGTCGGTGATTATTCGCTAACAGCCGGTGATCGAGGATTATTAGCAATAGAGGCTGTTAGCTCCTGCACACTGCTATGCATGGCTTTGCATAGCAGAACCATGCAAAACAGCGTGCTTACAGTGAAGCACACACTCAGCTTACAGTAAAACAGCCCACCGTTAATCCTTTGATCGCCCCACATGTTAACCCCTTCCTGCCCAGTGCCATTAGGACAGTGTTCAGTGCTTTTTTTATTAGCACTGATCACTATATTGGTGTCACTGGGGATGTCAGTGACACCAAGTCAATTCCCCCCAGTGTCAGAAAGTCCACCGCAGTCCTGCTGTATGTCGCTGATTGCCGCCATTGCTAGTATAAAAAAATTTTTTAAAGTCCCCGTATATATACCGCCATTTGTAAATGTTATAACTTTCACGTAAACCAATTAGTTTACATGTATTGAGATTTTTTTTTTAGCAAAGACGTAGCAGAATACATTTTGGGCTAAATTTATGATGAAATTTGATTTTTTAAATTTTTTTGCTGGACATGTTTAATGGCAAAAAGTCAAAAATATGTTTATTTTTCTCAAAATTGTTGGTCTTTTTTTTTTTGTTACAGCGGAAAAAAAAAATAAAAAAAACATGCAGGCAACCAAATACCACTGAAAGAAAGCTCTATTCGTGGGGGAAAAAAAAGACATAAATTTCATTTGGGTGCAGGGTTGCTTGACAGGGAAGTGTGGTTAATTGACTACCTGAGCTGATCAAGATTTCTATACCCGATTTATAAAATATGATGCATCCATTCCATCCACAATACCCTGAACTATTGTAAAGTCATCCAGAAACACTACAGTTCAGGACTTTATTTAATTATGCTGTACTCACCTTTTGGCATTTTAACACGGAAAGAGGACTTTACAACGCGGTCATTGAGAGGCTGGGCATGGCGATAATCATTACGTAAGGTTTTATTGTGCCAGTCCAATAGAGTGTTTTCCAGCAGCTTGATCTGTAGAATATATTGTATTTAAATCATCTATACAAGAAATAATGCCATGTATATCCACGATATACTGTATATCTGGTTTCAGCCTCTTTGGGGAAACTAATAAATGACATGAAAATCAAACTCTGCTGATTGACATTTTCTCCCGATATGATCAGCTGTATCTTGGACTTTCCCACTGACCACCAATGTAAGAGGCACTTCTCCACTGACAACCAATGTAGGGGTAGCTTTTCTCCAATGACCACCAACGTAATGGGCACTTCTCTGCTGGTCAAAAATGTAAGAGGAAACTCTTCTACTGACCACCAAATGTAAGGGAGAAATGTCTCCCCTGCACACCAGTAAAAGGGCATTCCTCCCCTAAATATCAAAGCAAGAGGGCATTTCTCCCTTAACCACCAATGTAAGGGGTAATTTCTCAAATGACCACTAATATAAGAGGGATTTTCTTCCCCACCAATGTAGGGTCACATTTCACCAATGACCACAAATGTAACAAGGCTTTTCTCCACTGACCACCAATGAAAAAGAATGCTACAATTGTAATGTTTTTTTTTTCTGGAAATTACTATTATTTGTCATATAGAACAGGAGGCTGTATATGAAAAATATCTACCCTAGGCAAATTAGGTATACCCCACAGATAAGTTGTTAATATAATGTTTTTAGAAGTTTCCTGAGGCCTGAAAATTATTCAAATGCTCTGCCATAGTAAAAAGGTTGAGAAAAGCTAGTATAGGCATTAGATGGAAATACTCTCAGGATAAATGCTTTACAGACTGCTAATCAAATATTTACATGCAACTTGGCTATGTGTACATTTTTTACAATAGAGGATGGAGGGTCCTAAGGACTCAGGAGAAATCCTGCTAATCTCCACTAGCAACTTGGCAAGGTTTAATGTGTAACAGAAAAGGTCATGGCAGATGGTGGCATGTTTGAGGAGACTATTTTGCCCATTCAGAGTAAATCAAAAGGTTTTATTCAAGGAACAATCCTCCACCCACAAAACTCACTTCTTCTTCCACTCTATTCCTCTGTTGGATTCCAAACCTTTTGTAAACCCTGAGCCTCCGCCATATACAGGGCTAAAGTCTTCCTACCATACTTCATGTGTCACTGCAATGGAAGTCACTTGCTCCCCCATACCTGGGAGCATTATGTATTTCCAGAGGTTTCTGATGGAGCAATGGAGTGGCAGGAGAGGGTTACCAGCAGGTGGGGAGTTCTTTCAAAAGAACCTGCCAGTTTTCCTTAAATGGGCACAGACCAATTGATCTTTTTGGACTCTTTCCTGTGATTCAGTCTGCCAGTGTGGACAATTTACCTGGTTTTGAGACAGGATCACTTTTGAGTCAAACACTGTCCATAGCACATTCTCTGTACAGGGAGGAGTCGTCAGAGAGCCCTGATAACGATAGAAGTTCTCCAGGTTTTCAGGAAGCATTGCCAGGGGATCAAGAATTTTTACTTTGGTCACTTGGCCTGAACACAAAGAGAAAAACTGTATCAACACCCACTGTATCATTCAGAACTCAGTAAGGGCCTGTTCACACTGCCCAGTCATGTCCAGTGCTGAAATACCAGTCACTACCCTATGGGTGAATAAGCCCTAACAAGTGCATTAGCCCAGCAGCCAACCTCCATATGACATGCATTTCACCTGCTTCAAGCAGGTTTTTTCATTCCTATAGACTTGTATGGGCAACCCATCTGTTACAAACAAAAACCCATCAACGCTACGACTGGGGCAAATATACACCATGGCTTTCACACAGAGAGCGGTCTTATCTGCAGGTGACTGTCAGAGTACTGTATTTCTACTAGTGCTGTAGATAAATTAAAAGCCAGCTCTAAGTAGGATATTTAAAAAGTTTTCTTGCATCTTAATTTCTCTAATTAGTTTAGAGTAAAAACTGAGATTTAAATCTGCCAAAAATGAAATTGGAATTATTATCCAGGTATATACACACACACGCTGTCTACCTAACAACACTGCAGATTATAACAGGAGTCAGGCTATTTGTCTTAAAAGGCCCAGACATCAAAAATAGACAGGGCCTGTTTCAAGATAATCATTTGGGAGTGATTTGATGGAGTGCCCTGTATTGTGTCTTGTTTTACATTTTTTAGAGTAAAACCTAAGTTGTCAAAGTTCACAACTATATAACTGATATGCAAGCGTTTTTGTGATCAGCTCTTTTGTGATCGTTTTCCTTCACTTTTAAAGTATATGTGAACCCTTACCCTGTCAAACAACTCAGTTTACAATAGAAATGCAAGCCAAAACAGTTGTGTTTAAAAAAAAAAAAAAGCTAAATACCCTTTTTTTTACAAGCGATCACATGATTTCTGTTCTCAGTTGCATAAGGGGCTTAGAGAACTGGGGATGTAGACTACATGTGGTGCGTACCAGCAGGAGGCAAAGAAACAGCAGTACACTGATTTTTCCAGTGAATAGGTATGCAGGGGGGTTGTCAGCACAGGCATGACCATTGGATTACAGACAGGCTGTGCTCCCAAGTAGAATACAAAGCAGAAAACAGACCATGTTAGGACAGATGTGTTTTCATGCTTGGCATGATCAGTATGACATAGAAAAGTAGGAGGACTGGCAGGATCACCAGGTATTTCACACAAAGAAAGCAATGCAAAAAGAGCAGGATACTTTTTTTCATACAAGTACTGTATGGTAACACAGACACATATCAGGAATATGACCAGGGGCGGACTGACAACTCATTTGGCCCCCGGGCAATAGGGGATCATGGGGCCCCTATGTCCTTGCCCAAACACAAAAAAAAGCCTATGAAAAAGGTACCAGGGCTATCTCATGGGGCCCCCTACTGACCCCGGGCCCTCGGGCAGTGCCCGAGTTTCCAAATGGTCAGTCCGCCCCTGAATATGACATAAAGCGGAGTAAAGCGATGCTGGAAGTGAGATGTTTTTTATTACAATGCTTAGAATGATCATGTGATTATATCAAAAGACAAAAAACTTTCTACTTGGCATTGTTTGCCATTAAGTGTACTGACATGCCTCATCTCCAAAGCTACAGAGGCAAATAAGAATCTGTAATAAACATTCCAAAAATACTCCGGAAAAAAAAAATTATATTTGCTCTAATGTTGTAATTTTTCTTCAAGAAAAATTCTAAATGAAATTCTTGGTGGGTATGTTATGATGTTAAAGTGGAACAGTGAAATAAAAGTAAGTATGTATTTGAAGGAAGGAAACAAAAAGTACACACTATGTGTACACTTAAAGTAAAGTTGTCCTTCAAATAAAGCAGATTAGTACCTGCATAGCGAATTGTAGTAAGTTTGGAAATGACCTCACTATAGTATGTGTTTTCAAAGTGGCCATCCTGGAAATTAAAAAAAAATATACAGATCAGAAAAAAGTATTATAAAAACACAACACCCAAACATTCAAATGTTCTTTATGCATATACTGTGCATCAAATTAGACATTTAAAAACAAAATTAAACAGTGCACTGAACTGAAGGAATAAATATTCAATTGCCACACTGCGTCTAATGTAATAGAAGACTGTAGCATTCATCCAAGTGCTTAACATAATTAGAATTGCAACATACATTTTTTTTTTTTTAAAGATTAAGTAACCCTAATACAACCCTGTTGCTATACAAAAAAATTACTAAAGGTAAGATTCACCTGTAAGAAAAACTATAAGTCTTCATCTGTAATCTTTTCTGTTGCAGCACTGCTGAATGTGACCTCCAGCCTGAGAAATCATTCCCTAAAGTCCATTGGAAAACCAAGATTTCCAGGATTGTGGATCTCCTGAGACCTTTGCATATCTTACCAATTCCTCTTTCTGACCTCCATGCCATTACAGGATAATAGTAGTGACGTAGAGGTCCGCAGGAGGAACCAGTGTGAACTGCGGGGGAGGGATTAAGAATAAAGGCATTGGCCCCCTAGTGGTCTACAGAGGGTGACGTTTCTGAAGCAATAGGGCAGCAGCAGGCTAACATTCACCAGTTTGACATACCTGCAGGCTAAAGACTCTATCCCTGCCCCCCACTGCCATTGAGTCTTCCAACTCCTGCTGGATAAGAACTTTCATACCTCTTGCTGCAATCTACATATTGCAAAAAGACAGGAAGAGTCAGAAACCCTTCTGTTGGCTGTGATAGGTGGACAGATCTGTGACCTTAGGTAGGGATACCTCCCACCTGGAGTTCCAAGGAAATCTGATCTTAGATTACAATCAATGTACAACAATTCAACCACCTGTATAGTAATACTCAGGGCTTTTCTTCTCATAGAAATACATGCAGATACCCCCTTTTCCCCAAGTGCCTGCCACTTACCCACCTCCAGTACTGCCGCTTTTAGAGAATACAGAAAAAAAGTATCATTTTGTTTGTGCTAAGAAATTTGTATGACATTTTTAACAAGAAAGGCAGTAAATTAGATCCCCTGCAGCCAACAATAGACCAACATTAGATCCCCTCAGCAACAATAGATCCCCCCCCAACAATACTCCCCCCAGCAACAATAAATCCGCCCTCCCAACAACAGACCCCCCAGCTACAAAATTTCACCTACAGCAACAACAGATCCACCACAGCAACAATAGAACCCCCTGCAGACAGCAGCAATAGAATTTCACCTCCCAGCAACAGTAGATCCTCCCCAACAACAATAGCCTCCCCTAGCAACAGAATGTCCCCCAGTGGCAGGATCAATAGACCCTCCAGCACAATGAAACACCCCTTGTCAGTACATACATTCAGTGCTGGAACTGAGTACCACTGCGTTCCCTCTGAAAAAAGTCCTGGCAATATTACTTTTGCAATGTATTATAGGATATATTAATATGCTACGTTTTTCTAACATGAACCACATTTTTTGGGAAGAACAAAACAAACCACCTGCTAGGGCTTTAAACTCTGAGATATTTTGCTAACTGCAAGTTGCAGTTTTATTTTATTTCAGGTACTTATATAGCACCAACAATCTAAGGTCCCTAACTCTCATTCATATATACACATACTAGGGCCAATTTAGACAGGAACCAATTGACCTATCAGCATGTCTTTGGAGTGTGGAAAGTAACCGGAGTACCCAGAGGGAACCCACGCAGGCACAGGGAGAACATGCAAACTCCAGGTAGGTGATGCCATGGTTGGGATTCAAACCAATGGCCCTAGTACTGCCAGACGGAAGAGTTACGCATTTAGCCACTGTTCTGTCCCTTTATCTATGTGTAATAATACTGGTGAATATTTCTAAAGTATGAATCAAAAATCACAATTTTGGGTCCAACCACCAAAAGTATCTACTACATTTACAGTTGTGTCCAAAATTATTCAACCCCCAATGCTGTAAAGGGGTTTAGGGACTATAGTGTACATTTGGAATTGTATTCAGAATCAAATCCTACAAGGACGTTGTAACTACCCAAATGCAACTAAAAATGACATCAATTGTTTATGTAATACAGTAGTAAATGGTTCTTATGTGGTTTCTTCATTGCCACAATTATTCAACCCCTTAAAGACTACCACTCTGAAGAACAGAGGTTCATACAGGTGCTTTCCATCAGGTATTGAAAACACCTGTGGATGTCACCGAGCAGCAATCAAGCATAATAAGCACCAATTAGGCAGCTTTAAAATGACTGTGATACTCAGCTCCTTCTAGACATTTACTGGTGTGGTTACAAACATGGTGAAGGCAAGAGAATGGTCCAGGAAGACAAGAGAAGAGGTGATTTCTCTTCACAGGAAGGGCAATGGCTATAAGAAGATTGCAAAGATGTTAAACATACCAAGAGACACCTTAGGAAGCATCATTCGCAAATTCAAGGCAAGGGCACTGTTGAAACGCTACCTGGTCGTGGCAGAAAGAAGATGCTGACTTCGACTGCTGTGCGCTACCTGAAGCGTAGAGTGGAGAGAAGTCCCCGTGTGACTGCTGAGGAACTGAGAAAAGATTTGTCAGATGTGGGTACAGAAGTTTCAGCCCAGACAATAAGACGCACACTGCGTAATGAAGGCCTCCGTGCCAGAACTCCCAGGCGTACCCCCTTGCTGTCTCCAAAGAATAAGAAGAGTCGACTGCAGTATGCCAAAAGCCATGTGGACAAACCACAAAAGTTGTGGGATAGTGTTCTGTGGACTGATGAAACAAAATTAGAACTGTTTGGGCCCATGGATCAACGCTATGTTTGGAGGAGGAAGAACAAGGCCTATGATGAAAAGAACACCTTGCCTACTGTGAAGCATGGTGGAGGGTCAATCATGCTTTGGGGCTGTTTTGCTTCTGCAGGTACAGGGAAGCTTCAGCGTGTGCAAGGTACCATGAATTCTCTTCAGTACCAGGAGATATTGGATGGAAACGTGATGCAGTCCGTCACACACCTGAGGCTTGGGAGACGTTGGACCTTTCAACAGGACAATGATCCCAAGCATACCTCCAAGTCCACTAGAGCATGGTTGCAGAGGAAAGGCTGGAACATTTTGGAGTGGCCATCGCAGTCACCAGACTTAAATCCGATTGAGAACCTCTGGTGGGACTTAAAGAAAGCAGTTTGCAGTGCGCAAGCCTAAGAATGTGACTGAACTGGAGGCCTTTGCCCATGAAGAATGGGCGAAGATACCCGTAGATCGCTGCAAGACACTTGTGTCAAGCTATGCTTCACGTTTAAAAGCTGTTATAACTGTAAAAGGATGCTGTACTAAGTACTAAGATTGAATGTCACTTGGGGGTTGAATAAAACTGATAATGCTGTGAGCACAGACAAAAAGACATTTGTGGTTATTTCATTATAACTGTTATGTTATATTTGTCTGACCTACAAGTGCCTCTTTAATGTAAATGTAAGCAAGATGACTGAATGATCAAAAGCAATGTCAAACTGGCCAAAAACACTCAATTTCAGTGGGGGTTGAATAATTTTGGACACAACTGTACATCTTGTAAACATACTGAATCACATATGGCATATTCTCTAATTTGTACAGCAAATATTCACAAAATAAATCATGATTTTATAAGTACTTACAGATTCTAAATGCCTTTTTGAATATGTTCAACACATTTTGTACCCTTTTTATAGCTAGCACATATCCACTGCTTTACCTCTCTAAATTTGTTTGTTCCTTTTAACTGCATACAAATATTTTTTAGACAATTTTAGTTTCTAGACAGCAAAAACCATGCTTTGAGAAACAATTACATATAACGTTTGTACAGAACTTGCCTGTAAAGACCAATTAGCTTTCATCCCTTGATTTAACCCCCCCCCCCCCAAAAAAAAAAAAAAAAACACACACAAGAAATTTGATTGGCCAATATGGGTAGGTTTTTAATGTAAGTAGAGAAGTTTATTTTACGCATTTTTTATATAACTTACCTCATAAAGAAATGCAAGCACAGCAAGGCCTTCAGGCTTATCCTTGGCCTCATCAAAGCTACCATATAACTCAGAGTTATAGTGCACAATGTGCAGCTGCAATGACAAGGGAGGGGACATCAGTGCTAACATATTAGCATGAATTACATGACACAGAAAGAATGATATGCAGTGCTCACCTCTGCCATGTACCTCATTCCATCAATAGTATGCTCCGAACCGCTGGTTTCCAGGTCAAGGCCACCCCAGTGAAGGTGCATCTGTACTGCAGTGTACACATGGGGGAGCCCTTTTTTAATTTTCATTGTGAATGGTAGTCCTATCTGCACTGAAATGAAGAACAGTTTAATTTAATTTACAGTTTTTGTTGTTAAAGCTGAACTCCATAAATGATCTTTATTACATACTTTCATTATTTCAGTTGATACAATGTAAAGTATGAATAGCTCACACTTGATGGGCTATTGGGAAAGCTGACAACCACTGTAGAAGTCAATGCTAACCCAGTGATAGCGAGCAGATTCCCCTCTGCATACTGACCACAGGAAGTCGCCAGCTTGGCACTGCTGCCGTTCAAAGGACACCTTGTATTTATTTAAAAAAATACATAGCATTCTCTGATTGGACAAGATGACATTTTTAATATCCCTGTCCCTCCACCTCATCCAATCAGAGAATGCTTTGAAAAAAGTACAATTAATTCTGTTAATGGTTGAAGTGCTAAACAATGACCTGTGGTCATTGTGCAGAGGGGAAGCGACTCATGAAAGAACCCCGTCAGGATCAGAAAATTCACAGCCATCAATGTAGTATTGCTATGTAGTAATTTTTAGCTTCCCCAGCAGTTCAATAGGTATGAGATACATTGGGGTTTATTTACTAAAGCTGGAGAGTCCAAAATCAGACTCCCTTCTGCATAGAAACCAATCAGCTTCTAACCTCAGCTTGTTCAATGAAGCTTTGGCAATGAAACCTGGTAGCTGATTGGTTTCTATGCAGAAGGGAGTCTGATTTTGGACTCTCCAGCCTTAGTAAATAAACCCTATTGTGTCAAGCTGGACTAACGTAAGGAATAAAGTTCATTCCTGCTTCAAAGAGCAGGAGAAACACTGCGGTCTTTAGCAGTCAAAGGTGTCTACAGAAATAGAGAACATTTTAAAAGACCAGACCAAGTGAAATGGGTGTCAGCAGGTATCTCCAGATTTTTCTGCTAATACATGGTTCTCTTTTTATAAGCATAAGCCTTATTGGCAGAATTTATTAACTTTCATCATTGATCTGTTAAGGAAGGTATGTTAGCACACCTGTCTCCGGGAATAATGACTACCCCAAATTAAAATCATGCAGACTCCCCAATAAGTTTGCTGTTTGTGTTCATTACCACCCCTGACAGCTATGATGTTAGGTAGAAGTTGAACAGCTATCTTTTTAAAAAACTAAATACAAATGATGGTTAGAAGTACAGAAAGAATACAAAGCATCCAAAGCTCATGTCACTGAGGTGGTGTTACTGGGCATTTGGAACACTTACCTATCAATAGCCAGATACAACCTAAATATTGTATTCAGTGTTCATGCTAATGCCCCACAGAGCCATGCCTTTCCTCTGCAGATATACGTATTGAATTGCTTAGCTACACTGTATACCTGGTGCTTTGTAGACAAATGACAGGGTCAGAATTGAATGCCAGGCACCTTTTCTTTTTTTCAGAAGTTTAGAGGAAAACTATACATGAATTAATTCTATGTATTCTGATGTATTTTGTATATGTACTGCAATTATGAACTTAAAAAACACTGACAGCTTAATCCTTTTAGTCAATGTTTTACTTTGGGTGGCGTTAGCATGCAAGCCCTTAAAATATATATTTGGCTGTTTAAAAACAGAACTACTTGTACTTTGCCATCATTGTACCTTTTAAACAAATAGTGTTCCTTTTTAAACAAATAGTAAGAGTTTTGTTGTTCGATGCTTACAATTTTGGCAGGATCAGACGACTTTGGCAAAGCATTTGGGGGCCACCATCATGAAAAATTTGAGTCAATATTTTTTAAGGGCAGAAGAAAGGATGTAGTTTCAGGTGCCTTTCACAAATATTCAATATAAATTATGTAGGTCTAACTCTCTATATTGGATGCTAATGTATTTCTTACTACAAATATAACATCACACTGAGTTCTGACATATACACTACACAAAGCAGGAAGCTTCTGCTCTTGACTGGACTAAATCCGATCAATTAGCTGGTGCATGTGCCATGGTAGCTAATGTTGGATGTGCCTAAGACAATGTTCAGTGCATGCACCAAGCTGAAAGTGGTGCCAGTCTTTTTGGAATTTGACCAAAGTTGCAAAGTTGAGCACAAGCTATAATAGCTTTAGAGAGGTTGTATGTCAAATATATTTTCTTTTAGAGACATGAGATGAAAGTCATATGGACTTTTTTGTGTTGCCAATGCTGTGGAGAGGTATTTGGTATTTTTAAATCTCATGCATTCATTATCTCTTTCTCAACTAAGAAATTTCAACTAATAGCCCCTTATCTTAATCTTAACTATTGGCTCTTCTAAATAAAAAAAATATCCATGAGCACCGTACTTATGGAAGGGATAATTTGACCTCTGTGGCTGCAGTTGTTGTTTTTCTTAGCATTGGAGCTGTGCTGGGCTTCTGGTTTGTTTCTGTACCTTTAAGGAGGTTACCCTCCCAGGGTAACCTGCACTCAATCTATTCATTTTTATATATGTCTCATATCAAGTTCTGTTAGACTGGAGTTAGGGAGCACACGTTTCAGAGGTGCTTGATGCCGTAGTGTGGCTAGTACAGTGTTTCTCAAACTTTTTTCAGTCAAGGCACCCTTTAAAAATTATGGACAGTCCCGAAGCACCCCATTAGAAAATATAAATGAAAACCTGTGGTTTTGTGTAACTAAAAGGCAGGCTTGTTCCACCTGCTGGCTTGTATACAAGTTTTGGGCAATTTTTTTACATTTTGCCAAGGCACCCCTGAAGAAATCTCAAGGCACCCCAGGGTGCCTGGGCACCCTGCTTGAAAAAGGCTGGGCTAGTATGTGCAAATTGGTAAATCAGTTTAGACTGTTTCTTTACCTACTATCAGGTAAGTGTTAACAGGCACGGTTTGTATTGTATTGTTTTGTTAACAGCCCTGTCCACGTTCACCTCACTTATGCGAAGTATAAATTAACTTGAATGGCTGTCATTTTTTTTTTTTTAATAAAAAGCAGGATGCTTCCATTCAGCCAATCCTAAGGCCAGAAAGAGGGCAGTAAAAGAAATCCAGATGAATAAAAGCTGAGCCAGGGCATTGGGACACCAATTGCTGAGCTAGTGGGACTTGATTGATCATACTTTTGGAAACATAGCTATAGACAGAAGAAACACAAATAAGGAATTTGACAAAAAGAAAAAGATAAAACAAATGGCTGTCTACTCATTCATGATATTCACATGAATGTCTACTCATGGGAATAAACCTATTTGGCTTCCTTTGGGGAACTTTACTTGCCGACTTACCTGAATGACCATTATTGGTGAGTTCAAAATCTCCATGCAATGGCCCATCATACCCTTCAAGTTCAAATGAGGACATTTCACTGTTGTATACAACTTTCTTTTTTTGGATGTCAATGGGAGATTGGTGTGTTGCACCACATAGCGGATACTTTTTTGCCCAGTTTGCTTCATCAACCTCTCCTTCTGTCAAAGGTGTATAAAATAGTCAGTTAAAAAGAATCACTACCCATGTATGTTAAATTAAATGCAAGTATGTTATGATAAATAGCAGAAAACTGTACTATTCTACTGTAAGAGCAGTTTGTTTCCAAGTTGCCTGCCTAAATTCCTGTATCTGAATTAGTTTACAACTCAGTCATAGAAAAGCAGCATTTGCAAATGCTGAGTTTAAAGGAAATTTGTACTGAATGATTATAGAGACTGGCACTGCGGTCTTCTTTTTTTTAAATTGCAAGTTGACTAGCTTTTTATGCTAATCCAGTAGCTTTAAAATGGTCTTTGGCACCAAATATACAAATCTTGATCTCTTTCCTGATCCGTGTGCTTGTACCGGTCAGTGACAGTCAGAAAGAATTTTGAAGCTAGAATTGGCCAGGCAGCTAACACTTTATGACAGTTTTTAATTCTTTTAGTACTGGGTCTTTTGAACTATAGAGCTGCAATAGAAGGTCATAGGGTAGTCATATTACATCAATTTGTCCTCATCCTTTTGAATGCAACACGTGTGCAAACATGAAAACTCTTTAACAAAGATTTTATCAAAAGAGTCAGTCAAAGCAATATTAAAGGCTACACTTAACTTTGGAATATGTTACATATTCCACCTGCATTTAGGGTTTAACAACAGCATGTTCCAGCTTTTGCCCCCTTTCCCCCCTCCCTATGACAGTGGGTGGGGGTCTTTCACTTTTTGAAAACAGCGCAGCTGTGCAGGGCTCCACCCACACATCCACATCATTCATTCACAGATTCCTGCAAATGAATAAACTACAAGAACCATCTGCTACCATGACAGATGGACTTGTAGTTTCAGTGGGCTGTGGGGGCACTGATGACATGTCCTCCAGCTTTCAAACAGAAAGGTATGGGCTGGAAGCCAGAGGACTTATCTGCCCACATTACACCCATGATCTACTGATCACTGGTGCAATGCTTCCAGACTATTTCAGGAAATCTGCAGATCTAGCCAGTAAGCCTGTTTTTCAAAAGAACAAGCTCTCTTTCAGATGTAGCAGTTAGAGGGTTGAGACAAACCATTTATCACTGACAGGGGTACTTACTTATTGAAACAAAAAGCTCTGGAGATGCCACCACATGTCCTCTAGATCCTAAATTTTACCTGCCTGGCTTAATGGATGACTAGTTTATTTTGCCAATGGTGCGGAAACCTGTACACAGGACATTGTTTCAGCCGCAAAAACATATAGCAAAATGGTGAACTGCTTCTGCTCCACTGATCATGTCACTTAGATTTCTCTGGTTCACTATATTCTTGTCTCTGAGATGTTGATCAAAGAAGGGGTTACTCAGCTAGATTTGAAAAACTGGGGGGGATTGACTAAATGTCCCTGGCCTAGCCCCCATCTCATTAATTACTGATAGGCTACTCTTCCAAAATAGATTGGCCTCTTTATATTTTTTTTTGTTTTTTGTGCTACATCTGCTCTGACCTGATCGCTCACAGTTATGCTTTTTCTTTCTTTCTTTTTCTTTTTTCTTTCTTTCTTTTCTTTCTCTTTCTCTTTCTTTCTTTCTTTCTTTCTTTCTTTCTTTCTTTCTTACTGCTGCTAAAGGAATGGGAGCATATATTGTTAATATGTATAATTCACAGCGTTTACTGTACAATGGACAATTAAAGTTATTGTATGTTTCCTAGAAGTTATGTATAGTCATAATTTCTGTATTTCTTTTTGTGCTTGGGGGGGGGGGCAACTAGACCACACTGGTTCCATTTGTTCATACACTTTGAAAAATGTACCTAATTAATTTTAATATATATGCACTATATTGCCAAAAGTTTTGGGATTCAGGTGTTCCAATCACCTCCATGGTCACACACAGATGTATAAAATCAAGCACATAGGCATGCAGACTGCTTCTACAAACATTTGTCAAAGAATAGGTACCTTTCAGGAGCTCAGGGAAGCATGGTACCATGATAAGTTGCCACCTGTGCAATAAGTCCATCCGTAGAATTTCCTTCCTACTAAAAATTCCACAGTCAACTGTTAGTGGTATTGTAACAAAGTGGAAACAACTGGGAACAACAGCAACTCAGCCACGAAGTGGTAGGCCATGTACAATGACAAAGCAGGATCAGCCCATGCTGAAGCGCACAGTGCGCAGAATTCGCCAACTGTCTGCAGAGTCAATAGCTAAAGACCTCCAAACTTCATGTGGCCTTCAGATTAACACAGCAGTGCGTAGAGAGCTTCATGGAATGGGTTTCCATGGCCGAGCAGCTGCATCCAAGCCTTACATTACCAAGTGTAATGCAAGGAATTGGATACAGTGGTAAAAAGCACGCCACCACTGGATTCTAGAGCAGTGGAGATGTGTTCTCTGGAGTGCTGAATACACTTCTCTGTCTGGCAATATGATGGACATGTCTGGGTTTGGTGGTTGCCAGTAGAACAGTACTTGCCTGACTGCATTGTGCCAAGTGTAAAGTTTGGTGGAGGGGGGACTATGGTGTGGAGTTGTTTTTCAGGGGTTGAGCTTGGACCCTTAGTTCCAGTAAAGGGAACTTTTAAGGCGTCAGAATACCAAGACATTTTGTACAATTTCATGCTTCCAACTTTGTGGGAACACTTTGGGGATGGCCCCTTCCTGTTCCAATTTGACTGCGCACCAGTGCAAAAAAGTAAGGTCCATAAAGACATGGATTTACAAGTTTGGAGTGGAGGAACTTGACTGGCCTGCACAGAGTTTTGACCTCAACCTGATAGAACACCTTTGAGATATATTAGAGTGGAGACTGGGAGCCAGACCTTCTCGTCCGACATCAGTGCCTGACCTCACAAATGCACTTCTGGAAGAATGGTCAAACATTCCCATAGACACACTCCTAAACCTTGTGGACAGCCTTCCCACAAGAGTTGAAGTGGTCATAGCTGCAAAGGGTGGGGGCAAACTCAAAATTGAACCCTACAGACTAATACTGGGATGCCAAGTTCATGTACGTGTGAAGGCAGGTGTCCCAATACTTTTGGCAATATAGTGTATACACAGTAATAAATACATATATTTATTATTTTCTCTATATTTCAATTGAATGGATATTTATTGTAAACAATTTCTATTGTATTACATGTAAAGGTAAAGTGTACTTTAAAGTATATTTACTGAAATTAATATTTCCAAAAAAAGGACATAAAGTTGATGTGTGTGTGACCAGTTTTTGATCCAGCAAGTGTAGAGACAGACTCAACAGGACCAAGCTTTCTCACCCCTGAGGTAAACAAAGATTTAAACTTATACTGGCCAGTTTTAGTTTTTTAACCAAAAGGCATAATAATAAATCATCCAAGTGTACAGGTTAATGTTAATAAGGTTTGGCCAGATACCTTAAAATTGTCTATATAACAGTAATTCATTTTTATGGGTAAGTAGGCAAAAGCAGCAATAAATAAAATTGAAAAATCAGATAGGACACTTGATCAATATTCAAACCAAATTCAATACAAACTTGGTATACGAGTCCTAGAATATCCTACTAATTTCTGTTCTATGCAACCACAATTGACAGAGCTGACAATTAAGAATTGATGCTTTTCCAAATTCCAATTCTATAATAACATATTGGTTTTGCCATTATGATTATTCAGTATAAATACAATTGTAAACAATACACTGTAGCAAAACAAGGATACAATTTTACATAGTTATCCTATAAATGAGATACTAAACATCCAAAAAGGGTTGCAGACCTAACTGTGCTATTTTCACACTTGACTTACCTTGGTACGTCCACTCCACCACATGGGAGTGACAATTGAACGAGAGCAAGAGAAGTATATAGAAGCTCAGCTGTATGGAGCACCTCATGGCTGGTATAGCATGTGTGTGTCTTGTAGGACGGTGACCTGCCTTATATTCTACAGCTCTGTATGTGTAAATACCAATTTAAAAGTCTGCAAATGACTATTCTCCCTCCCACTCTACAAATGGGCTAGTTCCCCCCACCCTCTCCGCTCTTCTATTTACCTAGAGGAAAGAGAGTTCATACCACAGATCTGCCCATAAGAGGCTTTAATTGATTGACACGCAGAAGCTGGTTAGGTTTTATTAGCCGGGTTTGTGGAGTCAGTGTCATTACCCCACCCTGTGTTCTTAACCTAACTAGGAATCACTGGTCTATTGCCTGTTTTCACTTTATGTGCAAAGCTCCCAACTCAACTACCAAAACATACAAAAATCTGCCAACCTGTTACAACAGTTACTGCAGCTAACTAAAACAGAACTGCTGTGCCATAGGCAGTATACTGAGAGGTGTATAGTTGTAATGACCACTAAAGCATTGGCATTGTTCTAGAATTTCACAAACAAATGGATAATAAAATTCAGTTAAAAAGATCCATTAAGCGTTAAGGATGTACAAGTTATCTGATTCCAGGGGCGGACTGACCATTTGGAAACTTGGGCACTGCCCGAGGGCCCGGGGTCAGTAGGGGGCCCCATGAGATGCCCCTGGTACCTTTTTCATAGGCTTTTTTGAGTTTGGGCAAGGACATAGGGGCCCCATGATCCCCTATTGCCTGGGGGCCCCATGAATTGTCAGTCCGCCCCTGTCTGATTCAATAGACAGCGCAAGCCAGATCACATAAATGTATGTTGATTACTAGAGACAAATGAAATTTAGAGTTTTTTGTCCAAGAATTTCTGCAAACTTTTACCATTTTGTCAAATAGCATTGGTGTCAATGGGAAGGTGAAATTCAGGTGTTTTGTATTAGTCCAATAGGCTTTCAATGCTTTCTTTTGTACCTGTTCTTATGCCAAAAATGGTCACTTATTAGCCTCCTTATTTTGAATTTTCCATTTTGGAATGAAAAAAGCAGACAGCAAAAAAGGGTAAATTAAAAAATGAATGCAGCAATACACAAAAACACGAACAAATTAAATAAATCTATCTACCCTACATGCACTCCCTTAAAAATACACCATCTAAATAAAGATAAAAATATTATATTGATTTTTTTTTCAAGCAAATTTACTAAACCTCTCAGTGAATGAACTTTGAAGTTTATGCTTTGCCAATTTTTCTGACAGTGAAATCGGTAATTTTGTAGTGAAAACCGGCACGGAGTTTGCATGTTCTCCCAGTGCCTGTGTGGGTTTCCACTGGGTGCACAAGTTTCCTCTCACACTTCAAAGACATGTTGCTAGGTTAATTGGCTCCTGTCTAAATTGTCCCTAGTAAGTGTATGAATGAATGTGAGTTAGGGACCTTAGATTGTATGCTCCTTGAGGGATAGGGACTGATGTGAATGTGCACAAACACCTAGTGCATTATCTTTAGGTACTTTATTGGTGAAATATATAAAATCATACTCACAAGATGGATGACACAGCCAGCTTCTACTGTGATTCTATCTATTTCACCAATAAAGTGCCTAAGGATAGTGCACTAGGCATTTTTGTTGTTTTAGTATTGCATTTCCCCGATTTGAGGAGGGCTGCACTGAGTACCCTTTAATTTGGGGTTGTTTGACGTTGGCTTTACTCTGCAGTACAGGATGGGGCCTCCACCAATTGAGTGCTAAAGTGTCAAGTCTTTACTGATGTAAATGTATAATATGTATATGTAAAGCACTGCATACATTGACAGTGCTATATAAGTACCTGTAGTTAATAAATAAATACATTTCACAGAAATGTTTCTATATGATTTGAACATTTTAACCTAAGGCAAGGGTCTCCAAACTTTCTAAACAAAGGGCCGGTTTACTGTCTTTCAGACTTTAGGAGGGCTGGAGTGGCCAGTGGGAGTAGAAAAATGTCCCAGCATCAGTAGGAGTTAAAAGAAATGACATAGGAATAGTGTCCATTCATTGGTATTAGTTGGAGGAATAGTGCCCTATCATTGGTATTTGTGGAATGAATATTGCCCCATATTAGTGTCAGTGGGAGGAACAGTTTCGCATCATTGGTGTCAGAGGGAGGAATAGTGCCCCATCATTGGTATCAAAGAAGGAATAGTGCCCCATCCTTAATATCAGAAGAAGGAATAGTGCCCCATCATTGGTGTCAGTGGGCGGAACAGTTTCCCATCATTGGTGTGCCCCATCATTGGGGAGGAATAGTGCCCCATCATTGGTATCAGAAGAAGGAATAGTGCCCCATCATTGGTATCAGAAGAAGGAATAGTGTCCCATACTTGGTATTAGTTGGAGGAATAGTGCCCCATCCTTGGTATTAGTTGGAGGAATAGTGCCCCATCCTTGGTATTAGTTGGAGGAATAGTACCTAATTGTTTATATCAGTGGGAGGAATTGTGCCCCATCATTGGTGTCATTGGAAGGAAAAATGCCCCATAGTTGGTGCCAGTGGAAGAACTGGTGTCTCTTTGTTGGTATCAGTAGGAGTAATAGTACTCCGAGGGTCGGATAGAGGAAAGCAAAGGGCCGCATTCGGCCCACAGGTCACAGTTCGGAGACCACTGACCTAAGGAATTGACAGTTTTGACTTATAGAGAAATTTGTACTGTGGAACTGTGGATACTTGCTAAAATACTAGTTGTAGGGTTATCATGCTTATTCAGAGGCTTTAGTACATTCTAACTACTGTATTTAGAATATAAGATTGTTAAAATGTGAATATTACATTAAAAAAATTCATTCAATGTATGTCCAGCCAGAACACATTTTTTTTATTTTCAGTTTTGAAAAGAGTGGGGAAAGAATTATGCCTCCTGTCAAGCTACTGCTATCTAGAGCTCCATTAAAGAGATTTGCCCTCACTTCCTGTCCTGATGATGTTCTACCAGACAGGAAGTAATGTATACCTCCCAACTTTAGAACTTAGTTTAGGGAGGTAAGGACCTGTGCTGAGTAATGCACACTGCGGCAAATTGTGAGTTTGGCCAAACTATTAAAAATGGAAGTGTCTTAAGAGGAATGGTTAAACAAAACCCAGGATTCCTTGTACCTATAAAATATGCTTTGATTGCTGCTACAAGCAAACGTCTCGCATATAAATGTCAGAGCAATTATTTAAAAAAGAAAAAATGTTTACATTACATATGGTTTTGCACACATTGAATATTAACAGAGTGCTAACACTTTGTCTGAGCCTACCTTACAGAAGAATTTCATTAAAATAGTATAGGACTGCTTAGCAACCAGAAACTGTTGTGACAATGAACACTTTGGTGAAAAGTATGTAATGTCCAATATAATGCAAACAGTGCAGGAGTCTGTAAGTCAGAATGCATGAGTCTGTAAAGCAGAATTCAGGGGTTAGCAGTGGGCAATGCACAGAGTGCAAGGGTCAGGACACTGCTGCAGTCAGTGTCGGGTTTAGGAATACATAACACAGAGTCCATGGGTCCAGGGTGTGTAATGCAATGTTTTCAAGGATCAGGAGTAAGTAACGCACAAAGTGCTGTAGTCAGTGCCGGGTTTAGGAGTACATGACACACAGACAGCAGGGTCCAGGTGTATGCACAGATGCAGAGGACAGAATGTTATGTACAGAATGCAGGAACATGAGTGTGTAATAACAGTATGCAGAGGACAGGAATGTTAAGCACAGAATGCAGAGGATATGAGTGTGTAATGCACAGAATGCAGGGGACAGGAGTGTGTAATGCACAGTATGCTGAGGACAGGAATGTTATGCACAGAATGCAGAGAACATGAGTGTGTAATGCACAGAATGCAGGGGACAGGAGTGTGTAATGCATAGTAAGAGTAAGGAGTACAACATAAAACAGTGCAGGAGTTAGGGTTGTCTAAAATCTATATTGAGAAAACAGGACAGCCTTCCTCCTGCTGGTGAGCCCACTAGATTTCCCTGTAGCCTAGAATTCTTTCTGCTTTTCCCACAGCATGGCTGCACTCTTTGTTCATTTTGCAATCATCTGAAATAAGTACTCCCAAACCTTTTTCCTCTGTAGTTCTGGCCAACGCTGTACCCCCAATAGTTTACTCAGTCAATGCATTACTTTTACCTAGGTGAATTATTCTACATTTAGAACCACTGAACTGCAGTTTCCACCACTTTGACCAATCTTCCATCAATGCCAAAACATGTCCATGTTACAGACACCTCCAGGGATGTCAAGCCTATTGAACACCTTTGTGTCACCAGCAAAAAGACATACCTTACCCACCAAACCTTTAATTATAGTACATAGAATAAATAGAACAGGACCTAGTACAGAACATTGTGGTACACCACTAGTGACGGGTCTCTGTTTCAAATGAACACCATTTACAACCACACTCTCGTATCCTTTAGCTAACAGCATATCCACAGAACCACCCAGGGGTTAGGTCCTAATTTGTGCAACTTTTTTTAATAGATCATTATGTGGAACCGTATCAAATGCTTTGTTGAAGTCAAGATAGGCTATGTCCATAGCACCACCCTGGTCCAAAATGTTAGTAATATAGTAAAAAAAAGTAGCTAGATTTGACTGATATTATAGGTACAGTATTAGCTGTTTACCAGTCATTGGTAACTTCTCCTGTTAGAAAAGATTGAATAAAAAGATCTGTTAATGGTCCAACACCTATACCTCAAAGTTCTCTAAAAACTCTTGAATGAATACCATCAGGACCCATTGCTTTTTTAAGCTTTAACAGAGCCAGTTCCTTCCTCTACTCCCTCTGTCTCTGTAAATCCTGAAAATGAACCATTATTACTAGAATCAATATGATCCCCCAACTTGTTACTGTTAGTGCAATGTATTTCTGAGAAAACTAAAATAAGTAATTATTTAAATGGGTTGCTACATCCAGGTCTCCCTCAACACAAGTGTTGTGTCCAGTTTTCATTTTAGTGATCCCATTGCATTTTTTTCCTTATATCACTGATGTACCTAAAAAGGTTTTTGCAACTTTCTTAATAGATTTAGCCAGTTCCTTCTCTTTATGTGCTTTGGCAGCACAGATAATGTGTTTGGCTTCTTTGTATTTATTTTTTACACTCCTTTATCAGCTACACTTTCTACTTCTCTATATATGCTTATTTTTTTCCTCTTTCACTGCCCTATGTACCTATTTAGTCAACCATATTGTTTTTGTCTTCCATGTACTTTTACTAATTTGCCTGACATACACTCACCGCCCACTTTATTAGGTACACCTTGCTAGTGCCAAGAAAATATTCCCCACACCATTAACACCACCACCACCAGCCTGAACCATTGATACAAGGCAGGATGGATCCATGCTTTCATGTTGTTTACATCAAATTCTGATCCTACCATCTGAATGTCACAGCTGAACCAGTCTGCCCATTTTCCTCTGACCTCTGACATCAACAAAGCATTTTCATCCACACAACTGATGCTCTGTAAACCCTAGATATGGCTGTGTGTGAAAATCCCAGTAGATCAGCAGTTTTTGAAATACTCAGACCAGCCTGTCTGGCACTAACAACCATGCCACGTTCATAGTCACTTAATTCCCCTTTTTTCCCTATCCTGATGCTCGGTTTGAACGTCAGCAAGTCATCGTCACCACGTCTACATTCCTAAATGCATTGAGTTGCTGCCATTTGATTGGCTGGTTAGCAATTTGTGTTACCAAGCAATT